AGATTAGCGATGTCAGTTTCCCTCGCTGTGACTTCTCCGAATTTCAGCACGACGCTCGACGGAGCACAATAGAGGAATTTTCTAAAATGTTGCTTGAAATTATCTTTCCTTTCGTCTCACATACGCGGCTGTCACGAATTCCTTTCTGTTTGCATTACATAAATGTGCACAGAGAAACTTAATCCTGTAATAATGATATTACGCTCTCGCGCAAAGGGGAAACACGCGATATTATGCGATCCACGTACAAAAATGCATATTCTTGTACATAATTCTTCCAGCAGAAAAGACGAGGCCGACAGTAAAATATTCCTGCATTAAATGAGTAATTTAATTTCATTTAATACGAAAGTGTCTCTCTCTCTCTCTCTCTCTCTCTCTCTCTCTCTCTCCCCTTCGTTCCGGGAACAGTCGTATGATGAGGAATCGTACCGAACGCTCCTCCGCTTTCCTCTCGACGGTGAGGTCCGCAGGTGCGCCAATCTCTCTCGCCCCGGTGCCGTAGGGGCGCCGAGCAAGCGTGACAACACGCAACATTTCTTTCTATCATGCCAAAAATGATACACATTCGCCGCGCAGATGGAAGTCATTATTATTACAAAGAAGCGTTTTTGCTGCCCGCCGTCTGTCGATGCCGGATACATTATAGACGCGCCGACGGCTTACTGAGAAAAGCCCTCCCCCAACCACCCTTCGCGATGTCCTCCGCGCGAGGCGAGATCGAGGCGCAAACCGAAACTCGCGATGCACCGCAGCAGTGTTCCCACGTCATTAAAGCCAACTACCGTCGCCGATCCCGGTCACTTTCGTGGAATTTCGCGCGCGGACGCAGGCACGATGCGCGACGAGCGCGTCCTGAAATCGCGCGCGTCATTTCCACGCGCGGACAGTGCACGCGCGGGAGCGGCTTCCGCGCGGGACGAGCGACTTGATTTCCCGGAAATATCCCGCGTGCCGTTGAGCGCGTCGTCATGTTACGTGATGGCTAAAGTGCGGCGCGCGGACACGTCCTCCGCCGCTCTCTCTCTCTCTCTCTCTCTCTCTCTCTCTTCTTCGCTTCCAGCACCTGCGAGAAAAGCCGGGCGGTGCGCCCGTTGGCCGAGCAAACAATACGGACGATGATGCGCCGTCCTGAGCGGCATTGTCCGCCGCGGCGAGGTAGTAGTAGGCGGCGGATTTATCTACCTACTCGTAGAGTCAGGTAGAGATGAAAGAGAGAGAGAGAGAAGGAGAGGGAAGGGAATTGCGAGGGCAGGAGAGAGAGAGAGACCCAGGGGTTCTCGACCCCCGGGACACGCCGCGTCGCCGCTGCGGCGGCCGACCGGCTGCCGCCGCCGCCGCCGCATCGCCGTCGCCGCGCCGTCGGAAACGCCGGTGGATCTTCCCATTCGTTCCGGGCTGATTTCGCGCGATCAACGGCACCGGCGCGGTGGTGATCTATCAAACGCCTATCATCTCTCGCGAGAGATAACAAACCGCCGCCGCGACGATCCTCCTCGTCGGGTCTCTCGGAAGCGGAGCGTATTGACGAATCGTTGAAAATCGGCCGTGCGAGGGAGATCCGATTTACGACGGCTCTACGACGATCCGTCGCAATCGTTATCTCGTCTCGTTAAATCTCATCTGCAAACATATTAACTTTTCGATCGCCTCGTGCGCCTTTGCGTGCCCGGCGTACGTACGTTACAACCGCGTGAGTCCCGCAATTGAGGAAACGCTGACAGTCTAATGTCAGCCGGTACTCCGAGCTCCGGTATTTTACGACAGTGCTTAGACTTTTTTCCTACAACCGTGATTGCGGTCGTTAAGAATGTCCTGTGACATTGATTGACAAGGATATTGACACTCGGGGTGATTGAGTATTTATAATAATCCTTCCGACGAGGAAGTGTTTATATCATGTATCGTTAAAATATCTATAATATCTCATTCTCCACTGTATAAAGACATTTAAAACAATAACATTGCTACAAATTTCATGCCTGGAAAATGTAACATTCGTGAAAATTGTCTACCTGCGTAAATTAATTTATTTGCATGTGTTATCCTTTCGAAATATTACAGTTTGAAATATTACATCGCTCGATTATACATTTATGCTACTAGCCTTGATTTTCTATTTTTAATAGAACAATTAACATGACGCTGGAAATATATACGTTTGTATTACTTCTTTATATAGTCTTATGTATGTCTTATGTAGTCTTATGTATGTCTTTATGTATGTCTTCTAATATATCGCGATATATAAATGTCGCACAGTGTCATAAAGGTGCAAATTTACGATGCAAATCTGACGCAAAGCTCGCGATCGTCATCTTTCGATTTAAATTCAGATTGCAACTCGTTCTATTCGATTTTCACCGCTATGGCATTTCGGGAATGCGCTTTATCTCCCACATTCCCCTCACGGTTCGCGTAACGCGCGTTTCGAAGAAACGGCACGTTAATTCTCGCAGCCGCTTTTCTCGTCACGTTACGAAATTCCAGGACCTTTGTATCTCGTCTAAAAGTCTCTCGTGTCATTAGTCAATCCGTACGAATTTATTTTCGCGATCCTATCGTCCGCAGGCATCTCCCTTCGTGTGAAATGTTTCTTCGTGGAAAATGACAAACGTCCCTGCAAATGCGTTTCTCAGGTCGCAAAATTCCAGGACCCTCACGATCCGCCGGGTTTGATTAGCCCGGGCTTATACAATCAGTGCGACGCATCGAGAAGGTTTTCTCGCCCTGGGTGATCCCGTCCCTCAGGCACCCGGCTCGTGTGCAACACGCGTTTCTAGGAGACGGCACGTTTTTCCGTGGCCGCTTTTCCCATCTCGCGTAACAAAATTCCGGGATCTCAGGGCACGAGGAGAGGACCCTTCGGTACCAAGAGGCTCGTAGGGCCGGACGCGGAATGAGCGTCGACGGTAAGTCAGTTTTTCGCATACCGAGCGCTCAGGTAGGTAGGCAGGCAGGTAGAGGAAGAGGTGCACGGCGGTGAAGGGAGATGAAGAAGGAAAGGGAGCGAGAGGAGCGCGAGAGAGTGGGAGAAAGAGAAGGAGTGAGAGAGTAGGAGAGAGAGAAAGAAAGAGAAGGGAGAGAGAGTCGGCATGCGAGCGGGCAGGCAGGCAGGTAAGAGAGTTTGGTATGGTCTAGCTGCCTCGCTGCCGCGAAGCCGGCGTTGAATGCCGGGGCCCGGTACCAGCGCCGTCGCCGCCGCCGCCGCGGCTCCCCTCTCCAAGATGGCCGCCGCTGGTCCGAGCCGAGCGCAGCCGTGGGCCCCCCTGACCGAGCCAGGCGAGCCCGTCGGGACCGTCGGGTTAGGCCAGGGGAAGGGTAGGCCTCGCAGGTGCCGCCATGTCAGTGCATGCCTAACCTCGAAGCCGCGCGGAACGGACGTTGGGCCCGAGTACGCGATACCTCGTGCTACCGCCGTAGTATCTGCGAAAAGGGTTTCTAATCTCCCTGTCGCGTTTTGGCCCCCCTCGCGATTTGCGTCGACGGCGTCCGTAGCTCTGCCGTCGTGGTTTACGTGGAGAAACGCGGCACCGGGGGCTCACGATTCCCCCGTCTCGATTCGATTCGGGTGAAAACGGTGCGTGACCGACGAGACGAGGAGTGTTTGACCCTTTGGGATTAAAGAGTAGGCCGCGTAGAACGTCGGACGCGAGAGGAGAGACGAGAGTGTTGTCGGACGGCGTCTCCACTCCGATGTGCTCCGATAAGAGGAGAGCCGCGGAGGGAAGCGCGTATACACACGGGTGAGTCGCGTTTCGATACCGTGCTAACTTAACGCGTAACGAGGTTGGGCGAGGGCGCGTCGTTTAACGTTATTATCATCTATTCGCGATTTCGCGCGTAGCGGTGCATATACGATTAACAGTTCGGAGTGTCGTCTCGACGATATCGTCCAATTCGGCGAGAAATTCGTTCGATCCCCGCTTTCCTTGCTTCTGGAATTTTGTATCTGGACCAACGCATACTGGTCTCTCCCGTTCTGGCTCGTCGATTCCGGTTCGCGAATCGATCGACGCGATCCGACGGATCCGGGCGTCTTACGCGGCAGCCGGTCGGCGAGAATGACAGCGGCAATGACCGGCCCGTGACGTCGACGTGGGACGAATCACGAACACAAAAGCGAACGGGGATCCGCGAACGTATAGGACAGCGAGCCCGAGGAGCGCGAGGTGTCCGACGGGACGGGAACACGATGTGTATGCATGACGCGGGACGATCGCGCCGGGTTCGCGACCGGTCGTGCTGATCGGTTATGCCGGTTTATCGGGACGTGGATCTAACGCGAGGAATGTGCCATATCTCGCCGTTGAGATAGTCTGCTTAAAGGAGCGTGGCGAAGAAAACGGGAGAGAAGACGCTCTCGAGAGAGAGAGAGAAAGAGAGAAGCGCGGCGAGGGAAGAGAAGGGAAAACTGAAAAGTGGCGCGCCGCGATAATTCGGCCAACTTCAGTTCGAACGCGAATCTTCGCGCCGCTGCTATGTTCACGCGGGACGCGGAGCGCAGTTCGGAGCACAGTTCACGCGGCTGCGGATCGACGACGCGGTGAGACAATTACTCCGGTATTTGAAACGTTCGTGTAAAGCGGAGGGAGGGAATCGGTGACTTATCGGCGTGTGAACGTAAAAGTCGGTGGAAAGTGAATACAGCCGCGAGATAGACCCGCTCGAGGATAAAACACAGTGATTTTTTTTGTGGTTGCTTCGCGTATTGGTGCTACAAAGTTAGGTTAAGTTGGGTGATGACAGGAAAGTGCCGGTGAAAGAAATAAAGAAAACAGAAAGGTGCGCGTACGTACGGAGCAGGACACGAGGACTCTCGGAGTAACGTCACTCGGAGCGGCAGGTACCGGAGGAATCCCGTTTCGCTTCGCGTCTCGCGACCGACGACCGCGTAGAGAATGAAGAGGTCGAGATAATATCGCGAGTTGAGGTGGGCGAGAGGAGGAGGAGGAGGTGGTGGTGGAGGACGACCGTGGCGTGGTACTGGAGGCCCCAGGATGTGGCATCTGCTACTGTTCCTCGTCCTGGGAGCGACCCCCGCCCCGGGCGCGACCCCCGCTCCGGGCGCGCTGCCCGAGCGCGTCAAGTACCTGGAGGTGTCCGAGAACGTGCGGCCGGGCACCCGGGTGGGTTTCATCGACATTGACAGCCCGCCGTATCTGATAGCGCCGGTGCCGGGCTCGCCGGTCGAGACCGACCTGATCATCGAGTCGGCGACGGGCGAGATAAGGACGCGGGTGCCGTTGGACCGCGAGACCCGACCGTCGTACAGCCTTGTCGCGCTGCCGCGAGTGCGGGTGGTTATCAATGTGCTCGACGAGAACGATAACGCGCCCACCTTTGCGACGGACCACGTGGACATAGAGTTCCCGGAGAACTCGCCCCGCGACGTCAAGCGACCCTTGCCGCCGGCCTACGACCCCGATCTCGGCCAGTACACGACGCAACGCTACGAGATCGTGTCCGGCAATCACGGCGACGCTTTCCGGCTGTCGCAGCAGCGCGGACGCGACGGCGTTCTGTATCTGGATCTACAGATCGCCGGCTCGCTGGACCGAGAGATGTGCTCGCGCTATCATCTGGTGATCGAGGCGCTCGACGGCGGCGCGCCGCCGCTTCGCTCCCGCTTGACCGTCAACGTCACCGTGCAGGACGTCAACGATAATCCGCCGATCTTCAAAGAGACGCGCTACGACGCGAGCGTGCCGGAGAACGCGACCGTCGGTACGCCGGTGTTCATGGTGAACGCGACCGACGCCGACGCCGGGGACAACGGTCGCATCGAGTACTCCATCAATCGCCGGCAGTCCGATCGCGAGGAGATGTTCCGCATCGATCCGGAGACCGGGATGATCTACGTGAACAAGGCCCTCGACTTCGAGTCCAAGGAGCGCCACGAGTTGGTGATCGTCGCACGGGATCGCGGCGCCCAGCCGTTGGAAGCCAGCGCCTTTCTCTCCGTCCACGTGACCGACGTCAACGACAATCAGCCGGACATCACCGTCATCTTCCTGTCGGACGACGCGACACCCAAGATCAGCGAGAGCGCGCAACTCGGCGAATTCGTCGCCCGGATATCCGTCAGCGATCCCGACTCCCGGACAGAATACTCGAACGCGACGGTCACGTTGACAGGCGGCGAGGGTCACTTCGGTCTGACCACGCGGGACAACATCATCTACCTCGTGGTGGTCGAGCGGCCGTTGGACCGCGAGGAGCAGTCCGTCTACGAGCTGTCGGTGGAGGCGACGGACGCCGGCACGCCTCCGTTGTGCGCCGAGCGCACCTTTCGGGTGCTCGTCACCGACGTCAACGACAACGCGCCGAAATTCGAACGCGACCGGTACGAGGCCCATCTTCTGGAGGCGTCCGAGCCGGGCACGTCGGTGATACAGGTGCTCGCGACCGATCTCGACGAGGGCGTCAATTCGGCCGTGCGTTACTCCCTGGCGAACGCTACGTGGTTCGCGATCGACGAGACCACCGGGCTCATCACCACGGTGACGCACGTGGACTGCGAGGCCAACCCGGCGCCGATTCTGGTGGTGTACGCGACCGACTCCGGACGACCGCCCCTCAGCAGCAGCGCGACCGTGCGCGTCACCGTCCACGATCTCAACGACAACGAGCCGATCTTCGAGAAGCCGCTCTACAACGCCACCGTGCCGGAGGACATGCCCGTCGGACGCTGCTTCCTTAAGGTAGGATTTGAAAAATAAAAATATATCACTTTTCTCCCGCTGTGCGTCATGAAAATGTGAGCGAGTATAGGAACCCACTGCACGACACGATTGTATGTGAAATTTCGGTTAAACGTTAATGTCACGTCAAGCCGCGTGACGGGCGAACGCGCGAGAGTTCTTACAATGGGAACCGTTTCGCATCCTGTTATAGCATTGTTGCGCTCAAAGTGTGAGCGATATGTTTACGTTGCGCTTCTCACACGGCCGCGGCCGTGATATCGTGTTTTTAACGTTGCTCTCTTAACGCCGCGATCGCTCGTTCGCTCGCATATGAAGTCGTATATAGTAACGCTAACGGGCAATTGTTTCGTCAGTCGGGTTGCAGCGCAAAAAGTTACGGAATAGGTCCGCGGGCTGTTGCAATTTTGTGAATTGCTTGTCACGCCGTTTGATATCTATATGACGTACGGAATATTTTCCACACTTGTTCGGACGTTCGCGGGTGTTGCGTCGGACGGACGTAACGCTGTCATCTCCCTTAACAAGCGTGGCACACCGTCCGCGTGTCTCTCTCTCTCTCTCTCTTTCTCTCTCTTGGCGCGGTAATTGATATTTATATTCCGAGAAAGAGAAAGGGAGAGAGAAAGAGTTCGATTGGGCCCGAGGTTGAGGTGTTCGCTATCTTAATTTGTTCAACCACCAACGTCCGCGTTTGAGAAAGCGAGTCGATTATCAGAAGTCACACAGCCCGGCGCGCGTTCGCGAGTACTCACCAATACGAGATCGAAGGTTTAATTGACATACACTTGAGAAATCAACGCTAATACCTACCGACCGATTCGATCGAAGAAAATCCGTCATCGGTCTTTATGCCGCAGCTTCTAATTGACCCGTCATCGGAATCGATTGCGCGAGAGAGACGTTTACCGGCCGTGTTGCGCGCGCGCGCGACGACCAGCCTCTATAAATTAATATCTTAAATGTCGCGTCGGCGCGAGAGAGTGACGTTACACACCCGGTGGGTACTTTGCGTTTAACCCCTTGCATAAGCCACGTCGTTTCGCGTAAAGTCGCTAAGATTCACATTAAAGGTTCCCCGATGCAAGCCAGCCGGGCGAAAGGGCACGGACGAATGCTCGTAACCAGCCGCGGGCCGTCAGGCACATATGTTAAAGCCGGGAAAGCTGTAATTGGTAACTCGAAGGAGAGAGAGAGAGACGGAGACGGAGAAAGAGAGCGTAAACGGGAAGGAAGGTTTTCTCCGGCTGTTTCAATTAGCATTCGAGCGGCGGGTTATCGATTATCGTTCCGTTTTCCCATTCCGCGAAAAGGGACGCCCGGAGTTCCAGGAGTGAAATAAATCCGCGCGCCACGTACGTATACGCTTCATTTGCATACGGCCCGCGCGCCGTCTTTCTCACCGCGAGGAAAGAGAGGGCGGAGTAGCGTCGGAGTGTACACAGGAATACGAGTAGGAGAGCCAACACGACCTGAATGAGGAAAGAAGTGTTGCGTATACGCACGGGCAAACGCATATAGCGGGGACGTGAGTCGCTCAGGGGCGTAACGTCGTCGATTCGAGGGAAGCGATCGGAGGAGAGGAGGAGAAAGGAATGTAGCGTTTCTTCCTGGTGGTTCTCCCGCGTCTCGCCGCCGCGCCGTCCCGGTGCGCTCCGCGCTATCGACCGACCGCGCGGCGATCACGGAGGGGAGGGGGGGGGGAGGAGGATCAGGAATCCCCCGCTGACGCGTTCCCTTAGCGAGAGATTCTCGGTGGCCGCCGCCGCCGCCGCCGTACGCGCCGAGAGACGCCCTTTCTCCCCGGAGCGGTGTTAGAACGCGAACAAGTTAGTCCCGACGTCCCGATGGGTGCTTCACGGAGCCGGCGCCGCGTCGTTACGTCCCGCCGTGCGGAGCGGCCGCGCGCATTTGTATACACCCCACGATGACAAGGCCAGAGGCACGGGGAATAAAGGAATAGATCCCGGAAAAGAGATAGGCTAGGAGGATAATGGACGGCGCCGCGTCGAATGTCACCTTCCGCACGCGCGTTCGCACGCGCGCGCGGACGTCTCTGAAATTTGAGATGTCGCGCCGTCTCGCAAAGGCGATTACGCGTGTACCGGCTGTCGGCGCTAACCGACGTTACGAGTGATCGTATTACGTACGACGTAATCGTCGAAAGTAATATTACACCGTCGCGGTTGCCGATTACGCCGATATTTATGGTATAGACTTTCGTAGGCTGTCAAAAATAACGAAAGAACGCTATTAAATTCTTCTCGCGTAGACAGAGATTTGTTCTCGAAAGTCGGTGAAAACCGAAGCCTTAAATAACATTCGATAACATCAGAGATAATAGTTTGTTGACTGTTAGTTCGCCTCCGATATACGATCAATGCCTTTTCTATACGCCTTGACGCATGAAATATACTTATTCTCGCGCCGCACACGCTCATCACATATCAATTGTCGCGCTTCTGACGGAAATATTCCATCCATGATTGAGGGGACTTCGCAATAACGTCCGTCATTCATAGTACCGATTTGCGGACCGTAGATTCCTGTACGGAGAAGAGGATGAGGATACGAGGCAAGAACGCGAAATGAGAAGGGAGAGAAGAAATCTCCTCCGCCTTCCTTCTCCCACATTCTCTCTGTCTGTCTCGCTCGCCCGATCCTTTTTTGTCCCGCTGGATTGTCATCCGCAACCGCCGAATGCCGATGGAAATTGCACGGGAATAAGCCGAATGCATTTTTCAATCGTCGCGCGCGGGGCATCCGCATCCGGCGGGGGCCGCGTACACACCGGGGCCCCTGCATGCGCGAACGCGACGTCGATGTTAATGCCTGCCCCCGGTACGATATATATTTTATTGACGTATTTCGCTGCCTAGTTCAATGATGATTTATAATTGTTGTTCGCTCGACTGTAATTATTATAATTACAGATTTTTCGTCCGGGCTCTCGGAACCGGGCCCCGGCTTGGCCCGGGCCGGGACGCCCTCTTCGCTCCATCCCCCTTCGATGCGACTCCACCCCTTTGGTCCTTCGTCTCTCGGGCTTCTCTCGGACTCCCCCTTCCCCTCCCTGTGCATTTCCTCCGCTCTCGCTCTCTCTTTCTCTCTCTCTCTCTCTGTCGATCTTCTCGCCTCTTCCCTCTTTATCCGATCCGCTCTCGCGCTGTTCTTTCTATCTCGCGAACAGAGACCAGATCTACTACGGCGGCTCCGACGTAGAAACGGGTTTTGGAAGTTGGACTCGCGCGATGTCCAGTCTTCGCGCTCTCGACTCCTGAGAAATCTCTGTCCCTGCATGCTCTCGCCTTCGTTTAACGCTAAACGCGGTCACTCGATCCCGATAACGATAAACGCCGATTGATAGAGAAGAGGACGAATACCAAACACAGATATTATTTTCGTCGCGGACTGGCAAATAATTCAATTACAATTCATGCCTTCAACCGTGATTCGCGTAGGAATCGCGCTTTCAGCGAACACCAGGTCTCCGCCTCGCGCGCATTTATTTCTCTGGATCTAACGAGAATCCATATGCATATTCACGCAACGGAATAACGGAACGCGTGCGTACGTACGTACTTATATGCTCGCGGCCTACACGTCGGGAACACTGGTACCAATTCATCCTCGCGCAGGTCTCTCTCCCATTATCCGTCCTAACCGGCGACGGGAGGATCATTAAGCCACGGCGCCTTTTGTCCGTTTCTCTATACGCGTCCGTCTCTACAACAACGAGCACGGAAAGAGCGAGGGACTCGAGAAAAATGCCAGCGCGAGGCGTGCTCCACTTCGGTACACTTTCCTCTCGTCCTCCTCGCGTTCTCGAGGACCTCCCGTCCGTCCTCTTCCCGTCGCTTCGCGTCGCTACACTTTCCACGGCCACCGCTCTCGGAGAGTCGAGAATCGATTACGAATCGGGCGATCGCGATGCGTGGCAGCCGATGCGAGAGAGCGAGGCCGTTGTGCGCATCGGCCCAGCCGCCGGTGCACACACACCGCGTGTATATCGCGGGTACCAAGTGATGACCGTAATGACTCTAACCACCGTCTGACATCTGGCATTAGGCACTCGGGCTTTCGAGTGGCAACGCCCGCAGCAATTGTTGCCGTTTACGACTGCCGTGCGCGCTCTCCTTCTCCCTCGTACCGGCGATTCGTCCTCCTCCAGCTCCTCCATCTCGACTCTTCTCTCTCTCTCTCTCTCTCTCTCTCTCTCTCTCTCTCTCTTTCTCTACCTCAGCATTCTCGCTCCCACTCGAGGCGAATCCGGCTTCCTCGTCTCTCCACGTCTCTCTTCTCTTGTCTGGTCCTCTTTCCCTTTCCCTCGCGATCTTTCGCTCGGTATCTTTCTCTCTATCTCGCCTTTCTTCTCATATCTCTCTCTCCCGCTCTCCCCGTATCTCCTTCTTGTTTCCTCTGTCCCGTTCGCTTGCACGTCTCTCTTCGTTCTCTCGTTCCTTCCTTCATTCGCTCCCGGTCTCTCCCTACCCTCACCGTCGGTCCGCTCTCGATCCTACGCGCTATAGACCGCATTCCCGAGCGCAAACGACGAGGCAGAGATATATGTATATGCATTCGCGTGTGCACCGTCCACCGCCGCTGCTGATTCCCTCGTCGTCGTCGTCGCCGCCGCGCCGCGCCGCGTTGCAGTTGCGAAGCGCGGCGCGCGCTCGATAGCGCTACTCCGCGTTGGTCCTGAAAAAAAAGTCATAATTGCGATATTCATATTCGCACTAGTCGGCACGACGCGCGATCGCCCCGTCAACAGGTGACACTCGCTCGCATTCTTTCGGGGCGTGCAGCGAGTGAACGAATGAACGAGCGTGCGGGCGTGCGAGAGCGCACGGCACGGCCGCTTATTTACGAGCGGATTATGCAATCCGAGCGCGCTACACACTCGGCTCTAATCGTAATACCGCGCCACATAATGCGAATCTGGTCCTCCTTTTTTCCCCCGCGAAGCCACGCGCTCCCCGCGCTCGGATTGCAAAACGTGACACGCGCTCGTTAACCCG